TATCCACGCTCACACCCACACCCTATCCACGCTCACACCCACACCCTATCCACGCTCACACCCACACCCTATCCACGCTCACACCCACACCCACACCCAGATCAACGAATCTACAATGTGTGCTTACCTTTTCCAAAGAAATAAATTGTCGATGGTTGGTGGTCTTTTTTGTTAAAAAAGCTTTTAACTTAAATCTTCCTAATATATTAAATCCTTTTCCGCAATAGAAGACTCCAGGTCCTTTACTATATCTAAGCGTACAAAATTTTAAGGGGTCTTTTATTGTGTCCCATTTATCTTCGTAATTTTCAATTAAAGAAGTTTTTCAGAATACTAAAGCGGTTTTGAACATTTGGAAAGACATTTTTAGGATTTCAGAAGCCCAGAAATAATTTGGACTTCATTCTTTTAAGATGTTCAGCTAAAACTCTGAAAAACTGGCTATATTTTTATGTAAATGTACTCACTAAACTTCCAATTCTCCGAAAAATTAATTAATTAAGAGATGTCTTCCATTGCGTCTGGCGCATCGTTCCTCCAAGGAAGTCTTCTATTTTGATGGTCTTCTATTCTGGCAATGGATTTAGTTGTTATGCAGGCTGTGATTATGCAACAAAATTCAGAAATGACATTTATTTGTGATCGACTCTAAATTCATGATAATTTTTTTTGAGAAACAAATGAAGAAGATTGAGTGATTCACCTTTTCTTATTTCAAACAACACAGTTTACTTAGTTTCTTCTCATCTAAACCAAAAAGAAAAGTTGTTTTTTTTCCAGATTGTAAACATTAAATGTGAGCAAATCATATACCAATCATATTGGTAAAGCAAAATATTAAAGGAAACTGCAAATATTTGTGTGAGAAACTGAATTCCGACATTTGGTAGAGCGTTCTTATTGCGAAAAAAAATAAACCTTACATTCTGTTTAATGTCATCCAAAGACATAGATTTGGTATTTGAGGCAATTAAATTATGAAATGAGAAGTTCTGATAATATTATTATTAGCAAATTTCTGATAAATGGTTAAAACATAACAGATACAAAATACAACTAAATAAAACTGAATTGTATTATTAGGTTCTAAGAATCGACCATAAGCCAGTGAAAATCAGTCGGTTAGATTTTAGCCTCAGTAGTGATGCCTATAACAAAGTCGTTTAGGGATTCTACTACTTGATATAAGAGTATTAGTGATTAATGATGTGAAGAGTTCTGATAATTCATCTAAAAATGAATTGTGTAATCTGTTAACAGGAAGTTGGACATTGTCTGGAAACATGACGTCTCCACGGGAATATCATACAACATCTTTATTACTCAATGGAGTGGTGGTAATGGACAAGGTAAGATTCTATCAAGTGCCGAATTGTATGATCCACTAACAGGCATTTGGACACTTATTGGAAACATGACCTATCCACGAGAATCCCATAGAGCATCTTTATTAATGAATGGAACAGTGTTAGTGGCTGGTGGTGATGGACCTCAAGGTGTTCTATCAAGTGCCGAATTGTATGATATATGAGAACTTTGCAAAATGTGAATGTATAACTGACTTATGACTTTGTAATGCAGACTAAAATGTAAAAAAAATAGTTGGGGTTTGTAATATTTATAATCATCCACTTCAAAAATAAACTTTTTCGCAGCTAATATTTTAGTCATTCATTCATTTGTTTCATTATTTTTTACTAATGCATGTAGATTATTCATAAACTGTTTTGTTTTGAAGATTTTATTTAATATCAATCACTTTTGAAATGAGATGTAAGGTGCCGATAATGCAAAACTAAAGCAAAATTTTGCATTATTCCTACTGTATAAAAAAAAGTTAGTTTTGATAATACCAATGTATCAATCTATTTGATACTATTCTCATCAAGCAAAATATTGTGTCATCTCGCTAGTTCCCATTTTCTTACACGCAAACAAGCATATAAACATCCTTTATTGCATATGACTCTCTCTTCAGTAGAGAGAATAAAAAATCGGACATGTTTTAACATTTCAAAAGTGGAAGATGCCCAATTGTGTATTCAAAAGGAAAAATTGTTTTCATGCCTAAATCATAGATTTTCAGGCAATTCCTTAACTTCAAATTTGAGGAGAGCATTTTCTTCTATCTACTAATGTAAAAAAAACAATAGTTGAGTATTTAAAATTTTTCTGTTATACATAAGTTTTCTAGAGACCTTTTCAACGATTGACTTCAAAAAAGGTTTCGAAAAATCTTTTCGCTTGTAAAGGATGCTCCATGAACTCTTCTTTCAATATCTGGAACATCATTGTAACCACAAATTGGAAGAATCGCTTTACCCCAGCTTCGGTAGTGGTATTTATTGAGCTACTCTCTATCTTCAGGGTATAACTACTTCACAACACACCACACGCTCATATATATGAGAGAGAGATAAGCACTGGAAATAATAATAGAGAGAGAGAATAGGAAGCAAGAAGGAGAGGAAGACCAGCAGAAGATGATGTTAATATCGGCATAGTCATATTTCTAGCTATTGTTATTGTTAGTTTATAAAAGAATGTTCATAGGCTATTCTTTTTTGGATGGGCAATAATCACATAACTGTTAATTTTTTCGCCACCAGTAACAAGAACTTTGCCTGAATTAAGCAGAGTTGCAGTATGAAAAGCACGTGTCATTGACAGTCTTGCAGCAGGATTCCATTGACCTGTTGTTGGATCGTATATTTCAGAACTATTCAGGTAACCAGTATATCCGTAACCAGCAGTGGCCAGAATTTTGTCTGATTTGAGCATGGTTGTAGTATGAGAAGAACGTTCTTCTGTCATGTTAGTAATATTGTGCCATTTTCCCGTTGATGGATCATATATTTCACAACTAGCCAAAAACTCAGCATCTCCTACGCCACCAGTGACAAGAACTTTGCCCGAATTGAGTAGAGTTGCAGTATGACTAGAACGTGCTGTTGCCATGCTTGCAATAGTGTCCCATTGGTCTGTTGATGGATCATATATTTCAGAACTAGCCAGATATTTGGCTGATCCGACACCACCAGTGACAAGAACTTGGCCAGACTTGAGCAGGGTTGCAGTAGAATCATAACGCGCTGTTGGGCCCATGCTTGTAGGAGGGTTCCATTGGCCCGTTGATGGATCATATATTTCAGAACTACCCGCACTACTAGTGACCAGTACTTTGCCCGAATTGAGCAGAGTTGCAGTATGACTAGAACGTGCTGTTGCCATGTTTGCAGTAGGGCTCCACTTATCCGTGGATGGATCATATATTTCAGAACTATTCAGAGCAGTGTTTATCCAGAAGGTGGTGCCACCAGTGACAAGAACTTGGCCCGAATTGAGTAGGGTTGCAGTATGAAAAGCACGTGGTGTTGTCATGCTCGCAGCAGCGTGCCATTGGCCAGTTGATGGATCATATATTTCACATTTGGCCATATAACCGGTGTATCCTTCGCCACCGGTGACAAGAACTTTGCCCGAATTGAGCAGAGTTGCAGTATGATATTCACGTGGTGTTGCCATGCTTGCAGTAGTAGTCCATTGGTTCACTGATGGATCATATATTTCAGTAATAGCTATAAGATTGGTTGATTTGTGATTACCAGTGGCTTTGAGTGAATTGAACAGGGTTGCAGCATGAACACGCATACCTAATCCAGTTCTGTTAGTGAGGTTAAAATGAAACGAAAATTGTATGAAATTATTTGTTAATTTCTAAATATGATGAAGTTTAGTTCTTTCAATTCGTCACGACTCTTTCTATTCACATGCACAACCTTCTCTCTATCTTCCATTGTTATTCCAGCTTCAATGCCTTATGTTTCTTGTACTACTAAGATATCTCGTCTTCTTTGTTAAACAGTACAAATTTAATTGCTTACATATACAGAGCTTATGGTCACTTTTAATTTTTTTCTTGATTTAATTAATTTTCTAACAAAGAAAATCGCAGTTAAAACAGTTATTAAAAGATGAATATCAGACACTCTCTGTACCAATATCAGAAACATTGAAAATAATGACTGCACCTGTTTCACTACGTGAGAATAATATAATTGTTCTCAACGTAAAAAACTGAAAATCAAATTGTTTATTGAATTAATCTCTCTCGTACTGTAATAATATCTTGTTGATTAAACTGGTTTGTTGTCGTATTTAAACTACTATCGATTATGTATGTAGAAAGAAACGAAAGAATATAAATGATCATCTACCATCGTTAAGAAAATATATACGATAGAAGGAAGAAAAGAAGAAACATGTCGAATAGATACTTACATCCATGTAAACAAGGAAAGTACAAGAAAATAATTCATTGACATCATCTAAAAGTAAAATCTCGTTCTTTATAATAATAAGCACTGTGAGAAATATTCTATATGATAGGAGAATCAAAATGGCATAGAATTAAGCAGAAAAAACATATTTAACTCGTTGGTTACCGACAAAAGATAAACAGATAAAATAGAGTGGCTTCACACTATGCATATTTTCGTTTCTTATCGTAGGAGACTATGATAATATAGCAAGTTCCTGCTGCTTGACGGCTACTTTTACGCAAATGCATCTATAAAACATGCATCATAAGTAACTGCATTCATTTCACATGGTGATCAAGCTCATGACGCATATATGCGTCGCCAGTAACCAATGGGTTAAAACCTTGTAAGAGTGACGTATGCAAGGGCAATATGTCATATTTTACTTTCTCATATTGATGATATGCATTTTTTATAATAAAAGAAATGTCATTGTTTGTGAAATACAAAACGAACAATAGAACAAGACATTAATTTCAAGGACAATAAAATAAAAGTGTACCTTAGCAAATGTGTGGAAACTTTCTGTGTTGATTTAATTGATACTTGATTACATGTGTTCGTCTAGAAGCTTGACAAAATTCGCTTTAAAAACCTTGAAATTGTTTGATAAACTATTTTACAGTCGTGGTGTAGGCTATTTTTTAACGAAAGTCTTTCGATATTAACCATAAAACGCGTAGAAACTGGCGATCTACCTATTCTTAAACGAAAAAACAAACAGTTTATTGTGTAGTTATTGAAAATTTGAAATGGAATCACGACGTAATCCGATATTAGATCGTACAGTTTATGATCTATTGAAGACGGTACTCTATAAAAATACAGCGCATTATAAAATCTATCATTTTAGTGAATTAATTAAGGGTATGGGTGTGGGGTGTATGTCTTCTCATCACTTACACCCCCACCCCCACACCTACACCCACCCACACCCCGCCCTCAAGTATGAATAGAACTTATATGATGAAGAACTCCTTCATCGGCTTGGATGACGACAACATCTACTAGACAAAGTTATATCAAGTATTCCCTTTCAACTCCATGATAACTCATAATATTGGCACAAGTTCAATATCTGCGATACTATACAAGCCGTTTGTAACAGTTCACTCGTTAACCATATATGGAAATGAAACTAAAAAACATTTAATTATTCAGATATAAAAAGAAGATAACAAGTTGACGTTGTTGATTATGATCGTGATTACATATTAGCCGTAACCAATTAAATTTTTCTTATCACCAATCATACGCATGACGTCAGAATGACTACGTGCCAAGCTATGATGATCTGTGTCTTGCTTATCATTGCCATACCAGTTCCGTTCAACTTACTATTTTTCATGATGAACGAATCATGAACGACAATGGTTCAAAAATTGGTATTATGAACAAGAAAAAAGTAATCAATCATACGTTTATATGATAATAAACAGATAAAAGATATCAAAATGAGGTTTTCTTTTTTGATAGTCATGATGACACATAAATTTCGTCATTCTGCTCTACAAAGTGAAAGGAGTACGTATGATCCGATGAGAATTCTTTTGGATTTTCTGTGCTGTAAATATTGCCTATGTATACTAACAGAAATTCTAAAAAGGAATATTGGTGCATTTTTTCGATATTGAATTATTGTTTTGTCTTGAGTTTTGTATGAAATGCTGAAGTTGAGCATTTAAAAATGTGAAGATAAGTTGTTCGAAATATTTCATGAGGTTATCCGCTCTTTACCAATTGAAACTTTTGATGCTGAAGAACATCCATTGCACTTTCGCTAATTTACTCTGTGAACCCTAGCTCATATATATCTGTATTTTCGTAAATTTGCATGTAACTTTAAAATTTATTAGACAGATTCGTATCAACTACGCATATGCTATTTTGCAACTATTGATAGCAGTCTGCTAAGGGTATGAGGTGTAGATGTGGGTGTACAAATCTTCTCTTCCTTCACATCTCACACACTCACAAACTACAATCACCCTGTTTATGGACTCATTTGCTTATTCAATTATTGATTTATCTGTTTATATATCATTTAGTATCTACTATTTCCTCTGTACAGCATTGTTAATTCGCATTTTTAATTTAAAATCATACACACACCCTAAAGTTTGTTCTCTTGATCGTCATGCGAACGAGAGTGATCTTCATCAATAAACATATAATGCTCAACTATTCTTAGAAAATCCTCTTGTATATAGATGCTTGCAGATATGAAATAATCGACCGACTGCTCTATCTAGTCAGTTTAGACTTCAAGTTTGGTCCATTTCTTCAAGCATGTACCTGTGAAACTAGAACAAATACATGATTTCCAGAAAGAAAATCAAAAAGTAAATGGTCATATAACATTGTGTTCGATGAGATTCACAACCGTAAGTCATCAAATTTCTATTTTGATGATAAATATTTTGGGGTCTCATGTTACTTTATTGTGGTCGACGATTTAAAATGATTGTCTCCGCTTTACATAAAAAATCGCTATATTTAATCTAATCTAGAAAAAGAAATCGCACACTGTATTTTATTTATATGTAACACTAAAAATAAAAGAATAAATAAATTTATAGTTTTGCAAGTCCTTCATATCTATAACTAAGTAAATAATCAAAATTAGAACCATTTGAAGAATTGAAATCAATATTAACTTTATGAATATGCGCTTCAAAAGGTGTCAAATGCATATTTTATTCTTCATTTTTTTACTCTGTGATAGTCAATGTTTTATTTTGTTCTTATCGTGAGGAAGTCTGATTTTGTTGTAGGAAAAATAACCTAGAAGGATATCAAAAAAACAATGTAAAGAGTAGAGGCGACGATTCAGGCGATGTTGATTTAAAATGTATGTTTTTCCTTGTTATTTCAATAGTTACGATTGAAGCCAGAAATGAAAAAAAAAGTCATTATTCTAAAGTGTGGAGGTGTGGGTTAATGAGATGCTCACAAGGGTGGGTGTGGGTGTGTGTTTTACCTTTTATCACTCACATCCACCCACACTCCACACCGCCTCATTTGTAACAATGAAATATTCTTCTAATTTGTTTTTGATGTTATCCACGGCACATAAGTAGATTTCTTTTTTTCAATCATGACATCTGAAAATATTTGAACTTAGATTTATTCTGTCAATCAGAATATACTAAGAAACGACTTTCAGCTAAATTTCAGCTCGAAGAACTTAATCGGTTCGAAGATCTCAGAGGCAAAAGACTTCTTTGGAGTAGTGCATTAAATGGTGTAAGTATAAATTACAAAACGTGGCCATTGATTATGCTTCATCCCTATTATAACAACAATGTTTCGAAGATATTTCTTTGTTGGGTGTCGATGTAAATCATTCTTACTACATCCACATCTTCAGTTACATATTAGATTTATTTTGTAAAATAATCGTGAGTTTCATTGCTGATTCTATATGTATCAATCTAGATTTGATTGCCGTTGAATGGATATCTCGATATAAAACAAATGCTTCACCTATATCAGCCACATTTTATATTTACACATCGACCTTGATTTTGTGCTTGAGTGTATGCTTGATTCATGTTAACATTTTCTCTCCTGAATTGTCTCTTTTTTCTTTTTATTTAATAACGGTTGTCGTGAATCAACCATTTTTGATTCTATGCCATTACTACGAATCATACCTACAAATAATTATATCAATCGTTTATAATACGATAAAGGAGAAAAAAAAACGAATAACCATGAATCAGCTAGAATGTATAGTATATAAATACAAGAGTAAAAGCACAATTTATATACATATTCCAAATCAAAGCCTACGATGAATCTTTTTCTTCTTGTTGTACTTACACTCTTTATAAGTGTCAATAGTAATTCTATAGATCGAGAGTAAGTGAAAAACCAATTTTTGAATGTAGAAGAAATTGAAGAAAAAATCGAAATGCTATGTTATAGATGTGAATGCAAAATTGTTTCAAACCAACTTCATTTTCCATATCATTCATGGGAGATTTCATCATGTAAGTTTTGTGGATGCGACGATGCTGCTATGAAGAATTGTGAACAGTCATGTAAACTTATGATGCAAGCCTATACGATGACTGGATGCGGAAAACTTGTTAAAGATACAAAGGTAAAATATACATGGGAAGCAAGTTCATGTACAAGTGGTAAGAGCAAGGAAGATTTTTCATGTTCTTAAATATGAACAGAATATTCAAATTATGCTTCTTTTTTATTTTCTTTTTAATCTCAATAAATTACTTTAGAAGAAAGACAAATTTTTATATAAAATAAAGGTTTATATGTAGAGTTCAAAGATTAACTAGAGATGATGAAAAAAAATGATTTGAT